ATCACAGGCTGTACAGGTACTGAGACACACTGACCCAACATCATAGGCTGCAAAATGCCTTTGCCTTATGTGGGAGCTGTAGTTCTTGAAACTAGTGCTGCAATGTCGAGTGGCCTTGCTGACTCTTTCTCTCTCCCTCTGTCCTCTAGCTCCACCCTCGGCACCTCTCTCCCTCTCCTGGGAGTACGAGGGCTCAGGCGTCCTACTGCGCTGGCGGCCTCCCCTCAGTGCTGGTGGTAGAGATGATCTCTCCTATACCATCCAGTGTCGAGTTTGTCCCATAGCGCCCCCTGCTGTCTGTGTGCGGTGTGGAGACTCTGTCACCTACAGCCCCCGGCCCAGTGGACTGACCCAGACTAGGGTGCTACTGGGGAACCTGCTGACCAGGGTCACTTACCTCATACAGGTACTGGCAGTCAGCAAGAAGATTGGAGGGGTTTCACTGTGCGGCAAGGTCTGGACACACTGGTCACTGTTGCAACTGTCCAGCCCAGTTTTCTCTGTACTGTGGGGTGTGGTCACAGTCAGACTATAGTGTATAACCGTTGCAGGAAACGGGGAGGGGGTGGGGTCTCTGTGGGTGACAATCGGTAAGGCCTGGAACTACATTTCCCTTAAGCCCCACAGTACCTGCTCTTGTCAGTGGATACCAATATTGGAGTGTTTTGTATGTTGGATGACCTTTCTCATGTGTACCCGCTGCATCAAACCCTAAAATCCAGGAGAAATAGTTGGGAGAGATAGAGATATCAGAAATATCTGCATATAATACTCTCTACTCAGAGCCATCTGTCACCATAATCTATTACTTACTGTAGACTACTCCAGCATACTGGAAAGATTTCTACTACTATTCCCATGCTCAATTTTGCCTTAATCCCTGTGTTTATGGGTGGTGATGCTGTCCCTTTGAAATATGGGATATGTAGTCTCAGTGTTGAGATACTCAGGTATAGTCATTCGGGAGTAATCTGAAGCATGTGGCCGATAGGACAGATTTGACTGAAGCTTGATTTTGATTGACAGGTTCAGGCGGTCAATGGGGTGTCAGGTCTGAGTCCTTTACCTCCCCAATTTGCCACTGTCAATTTCAGCACCAGCCAATCAGGTGAGCTTGCATACCTGGGTGTGTGCGTGTGTGCTTGTATTTCTCTTCCTGTGGATCTTTATGCATCACAGTGTGTATGGATCTACGTGTATGTTTGCATATTTCTCTTTGTGTGAGTGCCTGTGTGTTTGTGTATCTGCTTCTCTCTCACCGCATTGTCCACACAGTGTGTATTAACCCTCCTCTTCCCCCTCTCAGTGTCTGTACTGCAGTGTCCACACAGTGTGTATTAACCCTGCTCACCCCCTCCTCTCCCTCCCTCTCTCTCATTAAGGACACAGGTGGCTTGCAGTCACGCGATGCTGTCAAGTCAATGTTGCTCAAGAGAGATGGAGGCAGGGAGGAGGAGGGAGAGAGACACGGGGGGGAGTGAGATGCAGTAGCTCATTTTAGACACAGGCGGCGCCAGGCAGGCGGACATGAGGCTTTGCTCTCTTTCATGCCGGGACTCTGAGTTCTCCAGGCGGGATTCTGTCTGTTTCTTATTCCCTCGTTTCTTCCACCTGCCCTGCTCTCTGGGTGGCGTTGGACTCCTTTCCCCCTGACCTCGTCTTTCAACAGGCTGTGAGGTCGGCTCTTCAGATCCCCCCCCCTCTCCCCGTCCTGCCAAAAGCCCAGAGAGCTGGGAAACTGCAGGGCTTGACTGCCGACGCAGCGAGCTCTTGGACACAGCACAATCCGCTCACCGCTGTGAGCAAATCCGTATCATGTCGCTTATGAGTTCAATCCCCATTAAAATAATAACCGAAAGCTTTCGCGATGGCAACAGATGGACCGTTAGGAGATCAGAGGTAGAGAGAAGGCATCATAAAGACAGAGGATGTCATCTCAGCTACAGAGAAAATCTTACTTTATTTATTCTAGTAATATAATTCTAGTCATAATATATTATTATATAGTTGAATCTGAATAATTGAAGAACTATTCTTCATCTACCTGCTGCTTAAAAAGTGTGCATACTGTATGCGACTATATTAAAGGAATTCTGCCTTTGTGCTTTACTGGTTTGAATATAATTTCTTGTAACGTGTGGACAGCATGTTATGAGACACATCTCCTGTGGGCAGCTTGGTGGCCAGCACTGCTACCTCACAGCGCCAGAAATTGATCAATAAATCAATTTAAACAGAAAGAGACTTTTGAACAGATGATTCTGCTGTTTCATGTTACATCCTTACGTACATTAGGAAAGCTTGGTATAATACTGCCCTCCAGTGGAGTACAGCAGTACTGCAGGAACAGAAGTCGTAATTGCTACACTGGGTCAGTAGTTAGTCACACAGTCCTCTCCCAAAAACCTCTCCCATTTGTGGTCCTGATTTAAGACTTTGAGTGTCTACTTATTAGTCTGCTTTTCACACAAACACCACCATATAGACCTCACCCCCTCCTCTGTGCAATCTTAAGACATTGCAGTGTCCAGTCATTCGGTTTGTACACTAAACTAACACACACTCTCTCTCTGTCCACCTCCCTCTCGTTCTCTTTCACGCAGTGCCCTCTCCTGTCCCCTTGGTGCACCAGGTGAGCAGGTCGGCTGACTCTATCACCCTGTCTTGGCCCCAACCAGAGCAGCCCAATGGGGAGATCCTGGAGTACCAGCTCAGATACTACGACAAGGTGGGCCAGTC